CGGATGGATGGATGTGTTGTTGGATGGTTGGATGATGATGGATGAATGATGGACAGACGGTTGGATGTAGCAGGACCACAGAATATGAAGTCTTCAGTTGGTCTCATCACTAATCTCTGTGTTTCCCATAATGCACTTGGGCATGTGTTTAATCCTTTATGGCCATGATGGGAGCAGGAGGAGCAGGAGCAGCAGGAGGAGACACCCTCACTTTATTTCAGCTCCTGCACTCACAGAACCAGCTGGACCTTTGGTTCTTGGACCGTCTGGACTTCCTGCAGCTTTTATTTAGTTTCTGCTGACGCAGGGCTTCAAACGCACCGTGAGGGAATAAACCAAGATTTAGCTGCTTCTGTAGGCTCGGTGGTGCGTTCAGGTGCAGGTAGGAAAGAGGAGCCTTTACAGAAAATAAAGCTGTAAACAGGCTTTAAAGTGACCACAGAGCCAGTTATTTTAATCATAAACATCTTTAATTAATTCTGACGGCATTTATTCCTTTTTCAAGATATTTAGTGAAAATTTAATTAACATTTAATTTAAGGTGTTAAACAACTTACATTCTAAATCAGGCTCTTGAGGGTTGACTTTTAATGAGGTTTTTTTTTTTTTGTCTAAAACTGCTCTTTTTTTAAAGGTCAGAGATCCAAACGTCTGACAGGAAAACAAACAATAAATTGTTTTATAAATGAACTAAATAACAAATAGCACCAGAAAATAGTTTTATAGATTAAAAACTATTATCATCACACTATTAAGAACAGAGAGAATAGTTTAACCTTAAACACGTTGCTAGTGTTGGTTGTTTCTTCTTAAACTTCGTGTTTTTATTTTACCATCGTGTCTGTGAAGTCTGCTGACGGACAGGAAATTATTTTAACGACCAAATTAAATCGATAACGAGCCGAAGATGCAGAGAGCGGTGGCGTCCTTCACCGAGTGTCTCCGTCCTCCAGGAGACAGCAGCTCCTCTGTTGGACAGGTAGGGAGTTACACCTGCAGCACAGAAAACACGCTTCACACCCGTCTCATTCTGACGACTTGTTTTAAATCAGGTTGTCAGAAACTGAAGTTTTAATTTATTGTTTTGAGTCAGAAGTCAAACCTGACTGTGGCTTGTTTCAGTGTTTGGACTTTAGTAGAAACGTATTAAATTAAAATCTAAATGTTTTTCTTTCTCCAGCTGTGAGTGTTTTTGTTTCGTGGAGGATCTAATCCTTCAGAGCTTCTTGTTTTTGTCCAGGAACTGGTTGAGAAAGATGAGCTCGGCGTGC